ATTTTTTTTTTTTTTTTTTTTTTTTTTTTTTGCTGTATTTGTTATGTTGTTTTTTTTTGCAGAGAATTGAAATTTTCTGGTGTTCCTCTAAAATCTAATGTAGAAATATTACCAACAGCGAATTGTTTAGTACATTTAGTTGAATGGCCTCCTTTTGTATTACCATTAGAGGATATAGAGATTGTTTCCTTTGAGCGTGTTTCTCATGGATTAAGAAACTTTGATATGATCTTTGTATTCCAGGTATATATTTCTTTATTCCCTTTATTTATTCCCTACATATTATCCATTTTCTTTTCTTTTTAGTCCCCTTTCTCCATCACAAGCACATAGAATTACCTGTTATTATATACAGTAAACAGCACAAGAAAATAGCAAACGAATGGCACTCTTCTGTATATGGCTGTTTGTACTGGTCGGGTATTTCTTGCTTTCTTCCTTTTTTCTGTTTTTGTTTGTTACAGGACTACAACAAGCCGGTTAAGAGGATTGATCTAATTCCCATTGAATATTTAGATAACCTCAAGGTTCGTTGTTCAGGAAAAATATATGTTCTTAACAATATAAATGCTTATTTAGCTCCTCTTAGATATATATTCGCTCCTCCTACGCAGTCTGCCTGTTTGCGTGTGCAGCAGTGTGTGTATTAGCTGGTATAATATAATAGACTGTTTGCTTATGGTCAACTAGCGCGTCTATTGGTAGTTATTTCCTTCTAAATGGCAATTAAATGATTGTTTTCTTCCTTTTTTCCCCTTTTGCATGCAGAGATGGCTAAATGAACTAGAAATTGTCTGGTATGAAGGGAAACAAAACTTGAATTGGGCGGCAATTCTTAAAGAAATTCGCGACGATCCTCGTGGCTTTGTTGAGGATGGCGGGTTCGATATGTTCCTTGGTATGTTATATGCATATATATACATATAAATTAATGTTTTTTTTTTATTTATTAATTTAATTACTAATAGATAAGGTGTGTTTCTCTTTTTATATCCATTTTATTGTATTTCTGCTGCTCTCCCTTGTCTATTTAACAATTTTATTGTCGTGGGTTGTTTGGTGCTGCAGGCGACAACGGCAGTGACGAAGAGGGAGATGACAGTGAAGATGATGATGACGAGGAATATGCAGAGCAATCTTCGAGTGTATGTGCAGCTCATTAATTATATATTTGTCCAATTGTTCACGGATTCTTATTCTGTACACAGGCTGGTGCTGGTGTTGGTGCTTGCTGGTTGTTCTCAATGCATCATATATGCATGCATCTGCATGGGAGCTACAGGCTGCAGGGGAAGCAGCAATAGCAGCAACGCGTACCCCTGAGCGAATTGTAGAATATTGTTAGTTATTATTCTCTTATTGGACTATGTTTGTTGCTCAGGACGATGACAAGGAGTACAACGAAGACGGGTCCGAGGACGCGAGCAGCGACCAAGGCAGTGATAGCGACAGTGACTATTCTTCTGACGATTCTTCTCTTGCAGATGAGAGTGACGGCTATGAGGAAGCAGCAGGAACAGACTCTGATGAAGAAGAAGGTCTTAGCTGGGACGAGCTCGAAGAAAGGGCAAAGAAAGGTACGTTGGATATTGCAATTTCCTGCATTTCTTTCTTTATCCCTATCCTCGTACAACTCTTATTCTTGTTAGTGGTGCAGGTGGTGGTGGGGCTACTGTTCTTGCCTTTTTGTGGCTTATTTACATGTTTCCTATTTGCTCTGTTGGCCCTCTTTGTGTTATTTATTGGTGGTGTTGTTTTGTTACACCTTTTCCTGCTTGCGTTTGTTTTTTGCGGTGTCTCCACAGAGGATAGAAAGCGTCAGGCAGATGACGACTCAGAAGAAGAAGAAAGGAGGACAAAGAAGAAGCGTAAATGAATGAATGAATAAATATATAAAAGTATTAATAGATAATATTCTTCGTGTTGTTGGGCTGCTGCTGCTGCAGTGTTGGAGTTTATTACACATTGCAGTAGTAGAGTACCCAAGATATTCGTGGCAAGGACAGATGACACAAAAAATGTTGTCTGTCTGTGCATTCCCTAACAATGGGTATGCATTGTATAGAAGCAGTGCTGCTGCTGCTGCAGCAGCAACAGCTGCAGCACCTGCTGCTGCTGCTGCTTGTGCTGCTGCCACCACTAGTGGTGGTGGTTGTGGCAGTCGTCGTGAGACAGGCAATTGCCGATGTTTGTGATTTCAATTCAATTCATCCTTTGGCCTGATGTTAGTGATCTAAATTATACCGACTAGTGTTGTTTTGCTTCTTCCTGTACATTTTCTTCCTTCTTTCTTTCTGTCTTTCTTCCTTCTTCGCTTCTTTCTTTCTTTCTTTGGGGGTTTATATACTGGCAAGGAGACTGTGTTCGTCTTCTTATCCAAAGAGGGGAAACAGAACTGCTGCTTCAATATTTTTGTTTTTGTTTTTGTTGGTTTTGTTGTACTACCGTCATTTCTTGTGTTTGCCTCTTGTCTGTTTAACTACCAACAACGGCAAACATTCTCCTGTTCTTGCAAAGAGAAGAGGGCAATTATACGAGAATAAGGAAAGGAAAAAGGAAAACAGGAAAATAAGCACTGTGTCTGTGTCTAAACGTTTCTATTGCCTCCTCAGTCTGCTCTCCTTCCCTCCCTTGTCTTCTTGCTGCTCCGACTACTGCTACACTACTCTGCCCCTCCTGTACTGCTGGGTACTTACTATTTAATTTGAGTTAAAGACAGCCAGAGAGCTGCAACAAAAGATCTGTTGCTTCTGACGAAGCAGAGAGAAAGGCGAAAAGGAGCAGACAAGCCAAACAACCACCATAATAGGCTGCACGTAGCCTACAGCCACCGCCACCACCAAGGATAGCAAACTAAATGTATGAATAATGATAATATTACAATATATATAATAAATAGTAATATTATTAGGAAGGGCATCAGCATAATGGTGATTAAAAAGCAGCCAGAGGAGACCGCTGTGTAGCTGCCTCTCACACCTGTTGCTCACAGGGAGCAGCAGCATCATAGGTAAATTTGTCTTCTTCTGTTGCTGTTGCAGCAGCAGCAGCTTCTGCTGCTGGTGCCCACATAACAGCAATTTTAATCACATTATAGGCTAGAGGCAACAGCCAGAGGAGAGAAACAAAAGGGGCTCTATTGGTGAAGAAATATTTGCTGCTGGTGGAGGAATCTGTCCACTCTGCAGCAGCAAATACTAGCAAGGAGGCCGGCAGCGTCAGACCGTATGCTGCTGCTACACGACTCCCATTCCTATTTATGAGGAGTAATCCCTCGAAGGTAGAGGCAAAAGGAACAAACAATAATACAACAGATGAACAGATACCCGAAAACAAGACGGCGGATGACAAAGATGAATCAGATGCAGCCAAACGCGCCCCCACTGCAAAAAAAAAAGGAAAAAGGAAAAAACAGCACATTAAGAAAAAAAAAAGAGAATTTAATAACAACTATTGCCGCTTCTTTACCTAATAATACATTGCCTTGTGTTAGCTATCATTGAGGACGCTGTACAGTCAACAGAAATAAAGCTAGAGAAGATGCATGCAGCTAGCAGACAAGGGTACAAACAAACGTACAAAAAGCTGAGGCACCGAGCTGTGCAGCGGCAGAGAGGGCAGCAGTAACAGCTGCTATACGATATATGTTGTCAAGGATTTGTTTTTTTCTTGTTTTGTTTGTCTCATGAGGCCTCCTGGCCATCGCTGCATTCAGTATTTGTGCTAATGCATCGGATGGCATTCCAATTACAGTATATAGACCTGCCACCAACTGCAGCAGCAGCAGCAAACACAGCAGAGCAGGAAACAACAAGCACCAGCAAATAACAATGCAGCAGCACAGTAATCCCTAAGTTGCTGCTTAATCACATATATACATGCAACACACGCCTACTTTAATACCCCCAAGAAGCAACCTTTTATTAAAAATTTAAATTTATATGTCTATATATATTTATATTTATATTTATATTATATTTAATTAATATACGCATTCTTTGCTGCTGTTACCTGGTGTGCAGCCATTCCCTTTGCGCCCCATAGAGAGGCCGCCTTTGCCATCGAAGAATACAGCATCAATCTATTAGAGGCAAAAGGAAAAAACAAAACAAAAGACAAAAAGAAATAAATAAGACAAAAGGGAAGAAACTTTTATAGCTTTAGTAGCTCGAGAAAGAAGAAAAATAGGAGTTGGATCGCAGGCAGAATCAATGTAAACCCTAGTACCACCAACAAACCCTAAACCCTAAACAGTAAACAGCTAAACAGCCAAACCCTAAACCCTCAGACGAGGGTTTAGGGTTTCGCTGTTCATCATGTGTATGTAGAGATGCTTACCTAACACAACATTGGGTCATTATAGGCAAGATAAAGGGGCCAAAGAGAGAAATCTCTGCTGCTGTTGGTGGCCTATACAGCACAGCTACCCACTTCATGATACTGAATAGCTGCTGGTGCTGCTGCGGTTGCTGCTGCAGCTTCTGCTGCTGCTGCTGCTCGTTGTCCGTAAGAGCAGCAGCAGCAGCAGCAGAAGCAGCAAGCATTGCAAGCCGCAAAAGGAGCAACAAGGCAGCAATGACTTGAATGACGACAACTGTTCCTGCTGCTGCCTTGATGAAATCCTCAATGACAAGAGAAGCAGCAGCAGGAGTAGGAGCAGCAGCAGCTGCTGCTGCTGCCCTTGATGCAAAGAAAAACAAAGTAGGAGCAGCAGCAACTGCTGCTGCTATTGTCAGCAACTGGGGTGCAGCATCACCAAGAGAAAGAAGGGCCCCTCTTACTGTCATGGCAACAACACAGAAGGGTAGAGATATACACCGTAGCCTAACGAAGCTCAATGCTAGAGAGAGAGTCTGCTGCTGCTGCAGCTGCAGCTGCTGCAGCGCTGCTCGTCCTGCTGCTGCTGCTGCTGCTGCCTTAATACTCAAGAAAAATGATAATATATCCCCAGCACCAAAGAACAAACACACCGCTAATACTACACCCAACCCGCCTGCGTACACACCAACACGGCAAACCCTAAACCCTAAACCCTAAACCCTAGGCTGTAATGCCTCCAGCTGCTGTAAAGGGACAACAAAATGTGAACTGTCTGCACTTGGGCTACTGCAGCTGGCTGCTGCTGCTGCTGCTGCTGCTGCTGCTGTTCCAGCACAAATCACCACTTGGGTCTAAACCCTAAACCCTAAACCCTAAACCCCTAAACCCTAAACCCCAGGGAAGCCCTACTGGCTAGCCAGACTCCGATAGCAGCCGTTCTGAAGGGACAAAGAGTGGCGCTGAGAGTAGAGTGTCGTTTGTGCTGCGGCTGCTGCTGCTGCTGCTGCTGCTGCTGCTGCTGGTGTTTGGTGCTGCTGCTGCATAGGGAAGTAGCAGCAACCCCTAATGCAGCAAGCAGCAAACAAAGACCATCAGGTAATTGGCTACCTGCTCCTGCTGCAGACACTGCAACAGAGGTTTGCCTCTTAAGACGAGCAGCAGCAACAGACACAACAAAGGACAGCAGCGGCTCTTGTGCCCATGCTAATAATACAGATAACATTGAGCAACTAAATTGATAACCAACAGAGGAGGGGGAAGAAGAAGAGGAGGAAGGAGAAGAAGAAATAAAAAAAGAAAAAAAAGATGACCATGAATATACACCTGCACATACACCCGAACTCTTGCTCTCTCCCCGCATGCAAGAAACATCCTCAACAGGGAAATCTCCCTTATCTACACGCCGCCTATGATGCAGTATACCGCTGCTGCTGCTGCTGCTGCTGCTGCTGCTGCTGCTGTTAGGGCAAGGGGGGCAGGAGTTGGGGAAGGAGGCGACGGATTCCTCTGATGGACCCCATCCATCCTTAGAAGTGCAAGAGGAAGCTGTCCATACTTCAGGTGTACGTACACCTGAACTACACACTAATACAGGTGCATCAACTTCTTGCAGCAAATCAACAGGCGCATGCATGGGGTCTGCTGCTGCTGCTGATGCTGGTGATGAAAATGGTGCTGGGGGTGTCCTTACAGCAGCAGCAGCTGCTGCTGCTGCTGTTGGTGTTGATGCTGCTTCGGATACTGCTGCTGCTGCTGCGGTCAGGAGTTGGTCTGAGGTAACACTCGTTGCTATAAAGTCTTGCATTGATTTTCCCTCTCCTGCATCTGTCTGCTCCTCAGGTGTATATACACCTGAAGGTGTATCCTCATGTTTGTTAGCATCTTCAGATGCCTGTAGATAGCTTCCCTTCTCCTCTAGTTCTGTAAGTGTAGATTGCTTGCTGCTGCTGTTCTGCTGCTGCTTGCTGCTGTCGTGTATCTGCTGTCGTGTGCTGTCTTCCGCCTGCGCCTCCTCTCTGCCCACAACGCTGCCTCGTTTGGTGCTAGAAGAGGAAGGATGCTGCTGTTTCTGCTGCTGCTGATGATGATTCCCTGAGGATTTGTTGCTGTGGCTGTTATTGGCCTGACGGCGCCCCCTGGCCCCCGGCGGCATCCTGAGGGCCTTAGGGTTGTGAAAGCCGAGGAGTGTGTTCGATGTGTTATTAGGGTTTATGAGGGTTTATGAAGGTTTATGAGGGTTTGTAAGGGTTTAGCCAGAGACAGAGGCAATGAATGACCTGGACGGACACCTCCCTGCCAGCCAGGGTCTGGAGTTGCAAACAAAAAGGGTTTTCCCCCAAGTCGCTCTAAAAAGAAGTAAAAAAGATGTTTTTAATAGAATATTTATTAATAAAGACTTAGAGATATACACATAAGCCATACACCAGCCACCAGACACTACAGAGGGTCCCGATTAAATTGCGATGCTCCCAGGCCGACGGACAGACAGAACAAGGGGTCAAGGTCCTGTCTTTTTCCTTCTCCTTTTACGTTAAATATACTTTAATATAAAAAGTAAAATATAATGATGATATAGACCATAGACTTCCGCTGTTCTAGTGACAAGCTGGTGTTCGTTCCTTCTTCTCCTGTACACACACACGGTGTACATACACCCGAGATTTCGGCAGTTACAACATTCACAGGAAATGTTTAACTTGGTATATTTTTCGTTGGTTATATTAAATAAAAGATGCTTTTTATTTGTAGATCTCGAAAGTTCCACTTCTACCTCTCCCCTAACTATCCATAATCCCCACTTGTCTGCTCTATCATATGTCTCATGTTTCGAGTGTCTGCACACCTCAACAGCAGAACGATGTTTAAGACGCCCGTCCTAGCTGTTAAACGCTCCAGTCTTAATTAGCATTACCATTATATTTTATGTGCCATAACGAAGTTGCATTTATGACTAGACACTGCGTGCAACAACAACCCCTAACTCAATGCCGCACTCGTCTCTGTGTTACAACACTTTCCCCCCTCAACTGGAGGATGCATGCAACCTTCGCTCTACTTCCCTCCTTATTCATCTGCTTGCCTGCAAATCACCAATAGCTACTGAACTATTCTATCTAAAATTGTCTGTGTAATACCATGGCAGAGGCGACAACTGCGCTACCGTATGTGGGCACCGAGGGCACATAAACTACGAAAAGAGCAAAAGGAAAACAATTTGCAGCCCCCTGCGTACTTAACTGCAGCAGCAGCGGAGGAACCAACTGCAGCAGCTGTTGCAGCGGGTGGTGCCGCTGCGTTTGTTGCTGCGGCATCTGCCTCCGCTGCAACAGCAGCTGCCGTATATTCTGCTGTTGCTGCTGCCGCCTCTCTTGCTGTGCGGCGGCAGCAGACACTAAATGGAACTACGTCCTTTTTACACAGAGGACAGCACGTCGCTGCTTCTGCTTCTGCTGCTGCTGCTGCTGCTGCTGCTGCTGCTGCTCGGAGGCGTTTTTGACTTAAAAGATATTTCTCTAAGGCGACACAAGTGTGCGGTTTTCTTGCTTGCTTACATGCATGCATACATGCATGCACAGCAGCAGCAGCAAGCACGCACAAAAAGCCCCAAGAGCATGCCGCAGCTGCTGCAGTGAAGAGAAGCAGCTGTGGGGAAGGTGTACACGGGTGTACCCGAAGGACATATAGTGTAGGACTTAGGGTTTATATATTATTAGGATTAAGGATAACAAACCTTAGCACCACTAGGGTGTACAGACACCTAAAGATGTATTATTCCCAGCTCATACAAAGCAGCATGCACAGCTAAAGGGAGAATAAAAGGATGGGGCTTCGTGCATGCATGCAAAAAGTATTTATTAATAAGTGTTATGAGTGCAGATATGCAAGCAAAAGGGAAAGAAAGAAAGCCTGCATTATCTGTGTGTTGTTCCTCTGTTGTTGTTTTAATTAAGGGGTTCGTTTGTTGCATTGAATTGCCATTTTCCCTTCTTTTTTTCCTCTTTTTTTCTTCTTTTTTATCTCCTCTCTATTACTAGTAATCTTGGTCAACTAACACGTGGGTGCTCTCCCCCGTTTCTGCTTCATCAGCCTCTGCCTCCTCTGCAGCAAGAAGAAAGAAACATCAAATAAACAGAAAAAATATTCATAAATGTATCTGTTGCGCTGTTACCGCCTCTGTAGTTGCTACTGCTTGCGCTACTGCTGCTACTGCATGTGTAGTTGTTGTTGCTGCTGCTGCTGGCACATATTAAGTATCTCTGTAAGGATATATTGGGTGCATGCGCACCCCAGAAGGAAGGCTCTGCCTGCTGCACTAAATCCGACTGTCTTTGCTTGCGTCTGTTGGCTGCCGCCTCCTCCTGCACATAATCTGAACGAGTTGCTTCGTCTCCCTTCGCTGCAGGCCTCATTCTGCTACTGTAGCACAAGAAGAACAACACATCATACACCCCTTTCTATCTCTATGCAAAATAGAATATAAATATATGTATACATCTACATACAGTTTCATGTATACATATGTGTATACATCCACATACAGTTTCATGTATACATATGTGTATACATCTACATACAGTTTCATGTATACATATGCGGGTTTGTCCACCGACAATCCTGCACGTGCAACTAATATACGCATATCTATAGATGCATATATATAAAAGCAAGCATTCATATTCTTTTGTTTGTGCATATATTTGTGCATGCGTGTTGGTATATATTATAGGCATGCATTATACACATGACAAGATTGACCTAGGGGCACCCCAATCAGCTTGGTGACAACAATGACACAGCTCGCATGCACTGGAAAGCTGCTGCTGCGCTTCCTGTAGTGTTAATCAGCAGATTAAGTTGCAACTTTTAAGAACAAGGAAACTCAGTGTTGCGGAGGTAGATGCAACAGCAACAGCAAGAGAGTCCCACCGATAGAGCAAGAAGCCCCCTCCACCCAACAGCAGTAACAAAATGCCTCCCGCTGCTGCCAAACCTATCATGACCCCCTTGGGAAAGCCGCCTTCACCTGAAAACGAAACAGAGAGGAAACAGAGGCGGCACACAAACCCTAAAACCGAAACTCTGGGGAGATGAGTTGGTGTTTCTCAACTGTACTAGGAACGTCGAATTGTTTCTTCCGCCTTCTGTTCAAGATTTAAGCTTTTGGACATAGGGTTTACGGCTACGTACACCGGGTGCCGTCCTCTGGTGAGCAGGGTACTTCCTCTGACACGAGAGTTCCTGAGACGCATGTAGCGACGATCTGTGTGCAGGTGTTTCGATCGCAAGGGGTCTTCGTTTGCGGGAAGCTGTCTGTACAGGGTGCCGTCTCTTCCTCTAATGAACCCAGAGCAGTGAATGCAGCCGCCCCCTCAAGAGGCACCAAACAAGTTGGAATTTCGCCGGATAACCAGCACTCCATTGAACCCGGATAAAAGCTCGCAAAATTCACACCCTCGCCGCCTGCAACAATACGCATTAATACAACCAGCATTCATACAGATCAACAGATGGGTAAACGAACTGTCTCCCTCGAGAATATAAAAGATGGTAGCAATTTTTCACGTGCATGTGTTTAGAATCCAAATAATGCATAAAGCTCTACATGTACGCTGCCCATATCGGCTGCTCCAGCAGCATATCGTCTCCACTATATCCCAGCACGTTTAGGTTTGCCTGTGCCCCACCCTATTCATTTGTACCTGCACCCCGACATGTTCATGTGTCTCTACACCCCAATATGCCCCAGCCTGCTCGGGTGTAATCTTCTGCCTCCATCCCATGTTCAGATGTACGCACAGAACCTCTGCTCTCCGTTCTGCCTATGCTGCTTACCCGACTTGGGTTGATTGGGCTCGGTACTGGGGAAAAAATATCCATATGTTCCGAAGTTTTCGTCTTCAGTTACAGGATGGTCGCTAGCCACTTCAGGGTTTTCAAATGCCAGCGACCAGCACTCGGCTTTGCTATTCACTTTTTCCTTCTTCGCTCCGTCGAGGTGTTTGTGCTCTGTGCATCTGCCCGAAACCCATACGCCGAAGACAGCGTCCTTCACGGCCTTGTTGGCTGCATGCAGACGAACACAACAAGGCGACTTGGAACTAAAACAAAAGTAGCGGATGCAATCCCCAAATGCGATTGCCCCACATAAATCAGGACGTCCAACCCTAACTCCCGCAAATCCCCACGAGCAGTCAGGTATTAAATGCATGCTTCCGTGCATGCTTCCGTTAAAGAAGAAAGACAAAAGCGAGACAGCGAGGGGCAAAACACAAAAGGGAGGAGGCAGAGCGAGGCAAAAGACTGAGAAACGAATCCGACAAAGTAGAGGGGAGGAGAGATTGAAGCATCTGGAGGAGTATCCTTTGGGATGTCTCTCGGCAGCTGCTGTACAGAAGCATTATATATATATATATATATATATATATATAGTGTTGATTCTCACGGCAGTGTGTTTCCCAATAGTCTGGGTCCCTTCCTACGTAAGCCGACCCATAAACGAGTTCTGGTCGGCTATCTAGCGCTTTGTGGGGCTCGAAACAGTACCACGTCATCCCATCGGGTTTGCCATCTACGGAGCAGTAGCGCTCCCCCATGAGCCGTTGCACGGGAAGATAGAGGAAATAGCACAAGTCTCGTTTCGTATCGTAGACCCAAGGGTACCGATACGAAGAATTCTTTCCAGCAGTCGTCATAAAACTCATCTCTGCACACTTCCCCATCGGTGTATTCGCCTTCACTGCAGCACAAAAAATGAACAGCTCCCAACCCTACCGGATTCCACTGGCTACCTATCTAAGAAGAGAACCGGATTTACAGCTGTGAAAACGAAAGGGAAAACAATGAGAAATACAGCAGAAAGAGAATATAAAACCGCCGTACACAAACCCCGTCCATGAACGGAGATGATGCGCAGTAAAGCGTTCCCCCCCCCCAAAATACACACAGCAATAATCACATGGTGTACATGTATCTTCCTAGACGTGCATGTGTTTGCATATATACATATACGCCGGTAAATATATGCACATGTTAATATATCAACTCACATGCGTGCACAACCTATTTCCCATGCATATGCATCTACAGATGTGCACAGACGCGCACACAGCGATGTATCGCCGCCTGTACATATAATATTATATGCAGTGTCTACGCACGCTGTTTATAGCTGTTTAACTTCTGTGCACTCATCGGAGAGTAAGGGCTTTTGTCTGGCATTTTGAAGCTGTTATTGAACCCGCCAGGAAGAGGATGTCCTACGGCATCGGACTGCTGTTTGGTGGGTATGTCGTCAAGAAAGTCATTCTTATAATTAGGGTTGTTTTGCGGCTGGTACAACACAATCGTCTTGCCAAAGACAGGGCAGAGGCCGCTCGGTTCCCTGTATGTCCGCCCGTCCACTTCCTTGTCGCCTCCTAGATCTACGTAAATACCGCTACCTACATGGAAAAGTCACAAAACCTCAAGCCATTGACCCTAAACCTTAAGCGCTAGGTCTTGATGAACGGTCAGTCCATCAAAGAGAACCCCATACAGATAACCACTTGAGCAGTTTAACCTGGTGCTGTCAGAAATATTGCACCTTAGCAAACACATTCTCACTTAGACCCTAAACCATAAAACCCCAAAATACCGCCCTTCTGCACACCGTGGACCTTCGGGATGTTAAATCGATCCATGAAATCGCTGAGAGGAGGCACTAGAAAGGGGTTATCGTTGGGCTGGTGAAGCGCTGCATGGAGCTCTGCCGACAGATTTCCTGCTGCTGCTGTTGCTGCTGCTTCTGTGTGACCCTGGTGAACTTTATCTTTGATTCCCTGCACTACAGTGGAGCCTAACGAAAGCAGGCCCAAGCAAACCGCCTCCGTAAACGCAGCGCGCAATCCACACATCTTGAAAACAAATAAAGATGAAATAAAGGAAAACACCGTGATGACGAGATTCAAAGAGATCAAGGGATGCCTTAAAGGCAAAAGCCGATGCAAGAAGCAAGGAGGCCAGAGACAGCTGGCCTCCACCTGCCTGCTGGTACAAGGAGGCGTGAAAAAGCCTGAATATGTCCGAACTAATGGCGAATAAGCAACAAGCAGAGACTAAGTAGCCCCACTCAACCAACGGAGAGAGCAACGTAAACGAGGTGTTGTTGATTCGTTCTCCCTTGCACGTGTTCCGGCTGTGCCTCGACGCACAGGTTTCCAGACTCCTGAAGAAGAAGCAAAAAAGGGACTTGCGAGTTGTCGAAAGAGTTATGAATTAAATCCCCTTCGCAGAAAAGCACTTCAAATGAAAAAGCAGAGGGAAAACAACGCGCGCAAAGGCGCAAGCGGCCTTGTCTGTAGGAGAGTCGATCTCGCAGTGCCTGTGTGAGGAAAACACAACTTGATGAACTGGTAACAAAATTAACAGCATTAAATGCATTAATTTGCGCCAGTAACTGACGAGAAAATCACAAGAGAGGACGCTTTGGGTCTCCACTGCTGCCCGTGCCTGCACGGAAGGGCTGCTGCTGCGGGAGCAGCCGGTGGACTGGGGAGAAAGCAAGGGAGGGAAAAGCAGGTTCCTTCCATTTAAGTGTCTTTAAAGGAAACTTTAAATTGCTTAAACATTATATTGTATTCTCATTTGTTGATATTTGCAGCTATACTTCCAGTTGCCGCACAGTCTGTAGGTTCCCCCCTTCGATGCAAAACTTACCACTGGTCTTGCACCACCACAGCGTGAACCCAATTGTTTCATATATCGTGTTTTCGTCTCTTATACAGTGGAATTAAACGAATTGTCTAGCAAAATTAGTATATTTTGGGAGGCTTTTCCTTTGCTGTAAGGTTGCAGCTCCCCAGCAGGTCCGCAACACTGCCCGATAGTAATTGCTTTCTCCCTGTTGCAGCAGCATAATTTCTCTTTTCCTCGGTTTTCCAGCCCAGAAACCTTCCTCGTGAGACAATAAACAGCTGTGAGGCAGTTAAGAGCAGGTAGATCCACGAAAGCCAAATACTTCCTTGTTTACGTTAGGCGCTATGTTGATGTCTAGAGACAACAATCTGCAATGGTGTGTGTACGTGTGTGTGTGTGTGTGTGTGTGCATGCGCCTGCTGTGTATTCTGCACACAGTGTTCGTTCTGCATTTTGACTTTCAGCAGAGCTTTCTGTAATATTTCTAAACCCCTCAAACAAGCAAAAGGCGTTTCGAAGTTGCTGTAGCGACAGAACCGAAGTAACAGTGCCGATACTTTCCGAACGTTTTAATCGAGGGGAAGTCAATAGTCTAAATAACTCAACAAGCTCGCAAAGTAGCAACAGATGATTATTATTGTTGTTTATTTACTTTAGAACGAAGGAAGTTGGCTGCTTTCTACCGCACATGAAAGAGAAGGGAAAAGGAGTTGCTGCGCGTTGCTTCTCTAACTTTCCAGTTTTTGAAAACAACAAAAGCTAGTAGCCTTGTCTGCAATTTTACTATCTTGAATACGTCATTTCAAATCTAGTTTTGAATAGTTAATGGAAAGCGCTGGTGGAAAGCTTATCAATCATGATCCTGCTGCAGCGTTGTTAGGAGATGGTGTGCACTCAGGTAGGCAGGTCGGAAAGGGAAGTTTCCACTCCACAAATTTATTAATAAATTGGGATGTAATTAGCTTCTGCCATTAAACCCTTCGGAAGCATTTTATTCTGTGCCTTCGCAATTGACCATCGCATGCCGCTTTAAGTTCTTGCTGCGCTGCAACTTGCGTACCGGTAGCATTTCGGAAACGCGAGCTGACTATTAAGAAATCGTTATTTGTCAATTTAAATTATAATGCTTGAAAAGCTGAATTTTATAAGGTATCGGGACGCTGAAATTCTGCTTATTTTCCTTTACCGCGCGCTGTCCCCCTAGTGCTTTTAATGGAAAAAAATGTGGTAGGGATTCCTCGCCATATTTGACTATTTGCTTTTGACAACAACAATTGGTGTTAATTTAAAATTTTAAAACTTGTTTATTCTTAAAGACCGTAGGAAAGGCGCACGTATCGGATTCAACACTTCCAGTGGTATCGGATCTCGATGGTGCTGTGGCTGTGGATATACGCGCATTGGTTGTGAGGTACAGTACTCCGTTGTTTATTATAATTATTCCAATAAAGGAATTTGCTTAACAATAAAAGCAATGTATTTAGTATTGGCAACTCGATTTTACGCTTATTTCTTAGAAAAAGCGGCTGTCTTCTTTGTACTGCCTCGCTAGCTATCCACGGGAGCCGTGCGTCTGTTGAACATGAAGTTCGGCTGTGGGTTTTTAGGTATTTTGCTCCTTTTTTGTTCCTTTATTCAATAACCGATGTGTTTTCATTTCAGTTATATCTTCTCCTTCCTGTTGAATTTGTTCTTCCCTTCCTACAGCGCCAAACAGTCCTCGCAGCCGCCCAGCGTGGCATTTATACATTCTCTGACTGCATGCATGCGCCTTTTTCTGGGGTTTGCGGTGGATATTCACTGTAAATTTATTTCATTACTTTCATATGAAGAGAGGAATGTGCATTGAAGATTTAATTTAGTTGTTCTCCAGTGAAGACGGAGAAGACCGGACCTCGGCAATCGACAGCAAGCGCCAATCAAATGAGTAGGAAAGGAAACCCATAATACGCGACACTGCAGCACCTATTATTTAGATTTTAGGCTTCAGTATTTAAAATGATCATTTATCCTGCTGGTCATTACTGAGGCTTGGCCATTATCTCCTGGCCCCATCCCCTGGCCCAGGCAGCTTTTCCCAATGGGTTGAGGGTTTGGGGTTGAGGGCTCAGGGTTCGCGCCATTTCGTTGGACCTATCCCTTTTTTTTCTGCACACACATTTTCTTTGAAATTCTTCCCCGCGTTTGCTTTTCTCGGCATTCTTTGGCATTCCCCAGGCATTCTTCTTTTCCTCTCCACCACATTTTTTCTTCCCTCCAAACATTTTGTCTCCCCATTTTCCCCTTCCTGCTCTTATTATCCCGACAGCAGCAACAGCTGCACCAAGAGCTACAACAGTCGTTGCCACAACAACAGCAGCAACAGCATCGGCAGCAGTAACCATTGCAACAATACTAGCAGCAGCTGCAGCTGCTGCAGAAGCAGCAGCAGCAGCATGGAATGGGTGGGCGTCTGCCGTGCTGCAGCTCGGCAGGAGGACAGGGCTTCCTCTTCTTTCTTTATTGATGTAGAGGATCCGGAAGTCCCCAGTCGTTCTCCCGCTGCTGCTCCCGCTGCTTTCCCTTTTTCTGGTCTTGCAGGAAAATCAAAACAAATACATAAACACGGAGCCGCTACAGCAGAGGCCTGCACCACAGACACAAATGAAAAACTCAAGGGCAGCTCCTTTCCGCTGCTGCTATCTCCACCCCCGCAGGCGAGTCCCGCTGTTCTTCCTTACAAGACTCCAAGCCAGCCGCAACAGCAGCAGCAGGATCAATGCCAAAGGCAGGCACTCCTGCAGCAGCAGTGTAGCCAGCAGACGTTGCGCGCCTCAGCAGCAGAATTTCCATTGAGGGGTTCTGTGCCTTCCTTTTCATTCACTTCGCTGCCACAACAGCAGCCGCAGCAACCACAGCAGCGACAAAACCCGGAGGCGAATGATCCAAAGGCCTTTGCTGCTGCAGGTAGAGCAGTATTTGCTGCTGCTGATGCATCCTCCAAATCAGCGCATTGCTCCAAGGATCGCTTTGCAAGTGTTGAAGTGTATGCGCAGGCACCTGCTGCTGCAGCAGTTGTCCGCAATGCTGTTTCCGGTGACGGAGTTGAATATCCGACCCTGTGTCTGTTCACCTCGCCCAATTCAAAACAGACAGAAGGAGACACAGCAACAGACACCAGCAATCCCAAACCCACTGCCTTTTCCCTCCCGGAAAAATCTGGTTATAGTCTGGGGGCTGTTGCTAGTGCAGCAGCAGCAGCAGAAAGCCGCAGCCAAAATGAATGGCCTTGGCAGGGAGCAGCAGAACTAACGAAAACGCCTGACGTGCCCTCTTCAGGTGTATGTACAGCTCAAGACACCTTCTTCCCGTCCGATGCAGAAAGACGGCTCTCGACGTCTCCACAGTCAGAGTCATCTTTACTGGAAGTCCCTTTGCGTCCTAGCAATGCAGCAGCACCAGCAGCAGCAGCAATGGCAACAACAGCAGAACAAGAGGCAAAAGAAACAGCTCTGTTTTCTGTTCAAGACAGAGGTGGCAGCTGGCAAGCACACGAATCGAATTCATCGGAGCTGCATGCAGCTAAGGATACGTTTGGCAGTTGTCCATGCACCGCTGACAGACAACACAACTCAACGACTAGCAGCGACAGCACCTCGTTACCCTGTAGCGACTGCAGCAGCTACAGGAGTTACAGCAGCAGCCACAGCAGCAGCTACAGCAGCAACCAGAGTAGCGGCAGTCAGGCATCGGGATGGAGTTCGAGCCACAGTAACCCCACTGACGGCGACAGCGCTGCTGGTCTCTCTTTTCTTGTTTCTCCCGACTTAAAATGCCTTTCAGCAAGGTCCTCTGAAGAATGCAGTCCCCCAGAGGAACACAGCAACTCTCATGCGCTTCTACAGCCGAGGCAGCAGCAGGACATACCGCGGCTGCTGCAGCAGCTGGAGCAACGCCCGCCGTTGTATCTGCCTCAGGCAATGCAACCCCGCTTCCACGGGGGCCACCATAAGAAAAACCCCACATGCAGTGGTTATTCTTCTCAGGGCATCGAACCCTCTAGCGCATTTCGAAGGCGCGCCATATTTAGCAGCAGCAGCAGCAGTAGTAGTAGCCGTAGCAGTAGCGATACCAGCGACTCAGAAAAGGGGCAGCCTCTGGTTACTGTTCATAGTCAGAAGAGAAAAGGCAAAGGCGGGGGCACTTTAATAGCCAGACGCCGGCAATTCAACCAGAAATACATTGGCAGCAGCACCACAAGCAGCGGCAGCAGCAAGCACTTCACCGTGCATTTTGAGGACCTCGGCTTGGACTGCGGTTTGTTGAAAGTGGGCAGGCGGCAGCAGTTGGCTGGAGGTAGGGCTGCTGTTGGGGTGTCTCGACAGTGTGAACAGGCCAATGGCAGCCGGCTCAGCGGAGACGAGAAGGACCAAAGCAACAGTCATTTTGTTTTGCGTTCCCAGCGACCTGTTCTGGAGAGGGCAGACAGTCGGCGTCACGGTAGGCTGCAGCTGCAGACGCAGGCGGCTGGATCAGCAGGGGCAGCAACAGCTACCGCTGCGGAGGCTGACAGCAGCAGCAGCAGGAGACAGAGGCTGACAGAGCCGATGCGGCAGCGGCTGCTGCGTCAGTACACCCAACACCTCAACCGACTGCATGCAGCAAAAGAAGAGGCGCGTCGTTCAGAAGAAACTGCAGAGGCACTGCAGCCGCGCCTAGTGAGGGTTGTGTTAGAGGGGGCCAAACTCAAAGCCTTGCAGAGCAGCAAGTAAGGAGAAAAAAGAAACAGAAAGTGAAGGTTAAGGCCTCACGTGGATGGTGTAGAGAACAGTATATACTCGCAGTATATTTATTTATGTATTTTTTTATTTATTCGTTTGTTAGCTTATTGAACAGAGGTATTCCTATCATATGCATGCATTGTCTACACTTGTGTAGACAATGCATGCATGTGATTGTGCTCCCAGTAGGTGACGCATGTATTGTGTGCTGCAACCGCTGCTGCTCTTGCTGTTGTTGTTACTGCTGTTGCTGCTGCTGCAGAGCCTGGAAGGAATATGTTGGGGCCTCCGTGACGGATGTGGACGAAGACATTGAAAGGTTTATGGCAAATTTTGGGAGCTGCGACTATCCGAATTTAACTGAAGAGAATGTAACTGACGGCAACCCCTCTGCTACCGCCGCCGCCGCCGCAGCAGCAGCAGGCGCTTGCAGCAGATGCTGTAAGGGCAGAAGCGTAGCTGGGGCATTTTTAGTGTTGATGGTGTTTTATTTGTTTGTTATTTGTGGAGTTGTCCTCTGGCTGAAAGAAGCAACAAGCGCATCTAATCAAGCTAACAACAATGAAGCAAACAGCAGCGCCTTCTGAGGTGTATGTACACCCCAAACACCACTAGTGATTTCTTTGCTCTTCTACAGAGCGAAGATATTTCACAGACAGTCGATCTCCCTTTTCTGACCAGCATTAGGCAACGCTGTGCCGTCGGTCTCCTCAGATATTCAACTAATCTTTTTTTAAATAAACAACCTGTTTAGAGAACAACGTGTTCAACCGTAACAGTTGATATGTCGTGCGACAGAGAAAGCGTTACATACTTGAAACAACAAATATACCTCTACCAAGCGTACAGACACCTCACAAACCGCTTCAACTGCTATCGCTTCCCTCCCGTCTCTCCCTGTTTCTTCGTCGAAATGTCTCTTAGGGCTAAGCGTCAGAATCTCCTTCTGCAATAAATAATTCTACTAATGCAACAAAGATGATGGGGCAGACGCGAAGAAGAACGAGAAAAAGAAAAGGAAGAGCGGTTTGGGGTGTACGCACACTGTTCAACTGTTGGTGCCAATTGAAAAAGTTGCATCGGGGTCTGCTTTAGACCACATGGAGTTAATTGCGATAAGGAGAGGCCCTTTGAAGCCCACCAGGAGAGAATCGATGGAGATTCGCAAAAAGGGAAAAATGGCAGCACAAATAAGCTTACAGCCAGACAGGAACAGATAGAGATAGCGGTTGTTATGGAGACAGGCAGACACCGAGAGAGGAAACAACAAACAACAGACAAGGTAAAGCAGCAGCACACAGCCACTCAGTATAGCCATAGCCACCATAGCCGTAGCCATACTACGGCTGCAGCGCGCCTCTTAAGTTGTAAGGCTATCAAATGCAACAACGCATGAAGAAGAAAAGCAAAAAGTGTGAAAGATGATGCGGAGTGATCATCTTCTGTCTCCTTCCTCTGCTTTCTCTCGCCGCCTGGCTGTAGATCGACACACAATATTTGCATGCCGATATTTACAAATATATTGCATACATTGTGCATGTCTTAAATATATAATATACAGTATATACAAAACGCATATTATATATTTACATGTATTGCCACGTACTACTCCATGCAACCCACACGAGTCCGAGCCTACAGACACAGTTGTGTGTGTAGGAGTTGGTGGGGGGGAAGTGAAAAATCTGATGAAAACCACAAAATCATTGGATTACAAACCGCAAAAAAAATAACTCCAAAATATACAAATAAATACTTTGAGATTAGCGTGCAAGGGGCCAACCCCTTGCTCGCAGCGGCTGCTGCTGTTGCTGCTGCTACGAGCTGTGAATACACCCCAGAGAAGAGAACAGCATCGGACCCGGAGAACAATCAAACGGTGCTGCAGGCCACCAGTTCCAACAGTTCTGCTTTCTCTTCGCTCATTCGTTGGTTTGCAACCCAACGTCCGTACTGTTGACTATCGATTCTGCACAACTCCACGCACCTGCAGAAAAAGAGCAAAACGAAAAAGGGAAGCATATTAAAAGGGAAGACAAAATATACCAGAACAAACCAATAATACATGGGGAAACAAAAACGAATAATGCACATACAACAAAAGCGCACTAGGCCAAGGAAACAGAGACACCAACGACCAGCGGCAAGCGGACAAAAGCATGCAAACGACCGTAAAAAGCGAAGTGCAAATGTTCTGGCAGAAGTAAAAAAAAATGTAATGCTAAACCAAACAGTGAGAAGGAAGATATCCTTGACAGACTACACAGCCCCCAAAAATGAATACACCATACTAAGCACTGGAAATAACAATTGTTTAACTGTTCTGGAGGCCAGGCACATGAAAAACAAACAAACAGCACCAGCTATGAAGAGATATTGAGGATGTATCGCAAGTACAAAGAAACTCCCCCATAGCAGCACAAAAAAAAACACTACTTAAATCGCCAGCGCAGCATGCAGACACCTGCTTCTACTATCAATCGCCTCATGTACTGGATTATTCCTCTTTATTTATTCATAGTTTCTGTTGTAAGACCGTTTGGGTGAATTTACTTGAAGAATCGGGAGGAATCGAAGGCCCCATCCTCATCTGCTGTAGGATGCGCATGCCGATTTAAAATAGACAAACAGCCTTCAAAAGAATTGCAGAGCAGCTCTGACTCGTGGTACTTCAGAAGACCTAAGGCCACTTGGAAACAATATGCCTACAAAGTAGAACGAATGCAAAGGGAAAACTGAAAAAATAATGCAAGTTGCAAGACTGCTAAGATATATGCACACCTGTGCATACACCCCGGCATTGTATGTGGTTCATAACGAAGGGTTTCTGCCTGATTATCTTCAAGAGGAAGACAACTCAGCACAGGCAACCATCAGAATAGCAGGTGAGCAAGACAACACACACTGCAGCAGAAATCTCTATCTGCATGTACACTTTGCATGGACAGTACAATATTTATTCCTACTACAAAATATAGACAATCTAGAGTGTATACAAATATACATAAATAAACGCGCAAATACAACGCATACAACATGCATGCACATATGTGCATACAGAGACGCTGCGCATAATACATGATAAAGGGAGCACACACACTATCTGAACATATATAGATACAACGATAAGGAAAAGACATACAATATGCACGGCACATATATCCATGGGTTTAAGAAACAGCTGATATAGATATGAATATAGACACAATCAGATGCGAAATATGCACAAGGCTGTCTTGCACACCTCTCCCATGAGAAGAAGTCCATCCCAGGTGCGACAGAGAGTGGCGAAAGGAAGAGCGCGGCAGAATAGAGTTTCCATCCACCGGATGAGGTAGAGGTCAGGGATGACCTGAAGCCCCGCGAGGTGTCTGTACAGGTGGGGAAGGCGGAGGCGCAGCATTGACTCGAAGAAGTCGAACTTTAGCGCTATAGAACGCCGGTTGCAGGGGAGAGCAGGACAGAAGAAATCCAGCAAATGGAAAGCAGGCAGCAAATTCGTCAGAGCCACAAACGCCAAATCCAGAGGAAGAAAGCACAACAACATCGAAGCTAGACAATCCATGCCCCGCACATAACCCACATCAGGCCTGCAGCAAAATAACAAATGGCATAAAACATAACATTTCAAGTTTTTTGCTACACATGTTTGTTGTAAAACACCAACTCATCCAAAAAGAATCAAACGTAAAACCCGGAAACAAACAAAGGAAAAAAATGCAAACAAAACAGAAAACACGAGACAAAAACAGGCTAAACAAAACAAAAAACACACGGTAAACAACAAAGACGCAAAGCAACGGCAAGCTACGTAAATGCAACGAATTGAGCAAAAGATGCAGCAACGAAGACAAACAAACGGAACAAATACGCACGCAGCAATCCACAAAGAGTAGGGAGGCCGATGCACCGACCACCCATATGCAGACCAATCTATACACCTGATGTTTCACCGCAAGATACGTGTACTATTGCTGCGTTCTAGAGCACCTTAAGCAAATTTCATTCCTTTCCATGCATACAACAGTACCTGTACAACACATAGGCCTCCAGCAGCGCTCGGACGCCCTCTGCTATAGTCAGTTCCCCTTCTTCCCAACCCCCTCCTCCCCCTTCCTTGAACGGCTGCTGTACCGGGGGTCCCCAGGGAGCCCCCCCTAAACCCTCTTCCCCCGTAGCCGGAGCTGCCGAGGAGGAACATAGAGGCCCTGGAGAGAAGTCAGTTCTGCTGCTGCTGCTACGCTGCAGCAGCACAGGGCCGTCCCTTCCAGCAGCAGCAGAGCTGCTGTGAGGAGCATCCAGAGCACTGGCTGGGTTTTGGCGGCTGCTGTTGCCAGTGGGGCGGCCATGTGCCGCTGCATCTGTTGCACAGACAGAAGAGCAACAGCAACCCGCCTCTCCGTCCTCTCCGCTGCTCCCTTGCAGGCCCTTGCCTTCTGCTATGGGAGACCCAACTGAAATAACAGCAGCCGGGTCCCCACCTTCTCTTTCCGCCCACTGCTGCTGCTGCTGTTGCTGTTGTTTTCGCGGTTTGGGCATCGGGACGAACGTGCTGAGGGTTTTGCTGCTGGTTCCTCCTGGTCCTGGTGCTGTTGCTGTTGCAACCGCTGCTGTGGGCCCCAGAGGAGACGACAGAGCCAAAGGCTGCCCTTGGATAACAGGAGCAGTTCCCTGGCCGTTGCAGACATCTGCGGGTCTGTGCAAGGGAGACGCGGCAGGTCCTGCAGCAGCAGCGGCAGCAGAGGCGACCTCGTCTCTGAGTTCATCAAGGGAGGTGGTGAGCAGCAAGGGTCCTTCGCCGATTTTCCGGTTCATTAGGTAGGGGATGCCGCGCATTGTCACCCGCCGCAGGCCCTCTAAAGTGCTGCTGCTTCGGCTGAAAGAGGCGCCTCCATTCGCAGCCCCAAAAGGGCTCCACGGGTCTGCTGCATGAGCTGCTGGTGCTGCTGCAGGGTCCGCTACTGCTGCTTGGGCTGGTGGCAATACAGTTGCAGATGCAGGGATGGCTGCTGTAGCAGCAGCATCCGCTCGAAAGGCGTTGTGTGCAGCGGTTTGCGGTGTATGAGGAGCGTGAACAGTTGAATGGCTGCTACTTGTTGGGGGTGAGGAAGCTGCATATTGTGGGTTGTTTTGCAGCCTTCTGAGCTGCATCAGGGCCTCCCTGAGAGGAACTCCGACGTTTTGTTCGTTTCCGAGAGCAATTAGCCAGAGCTTTCCTCTTAGTTCACCCGGCAGCCCACCCAACCACAGTCGCACGAAAGCAGGCTGCGTTGCAGTGTCTGTACGCCGCCCTCTGTCTAGGCTGTAGCGACCTACCCAGGTGGTTCCCAAGTGGCTCAAATGTATGTACGCGTTGGCCTCTGTCGCCACAGCACTCCCAACCAGATTTGTCCTCTGCACCAACGCAGACAAGCTGCTGTCCTGCTGTTGCTGCTGCTGCGGCCCCCCCCACCCACCTGTTGCCGACCTGAAGGAGCTGCTGCAACCGTCTCTACGGAACACCCCTGCCCCCTTCCCGCTGTGCAGTTCGCTGCTGCAGCTCCCAACGCCTTCTTCATCCATAGACACGGCGACGCCGCCAGCAGTACCACAACCTGCTGCTCCACCAACTGGACGGCCTCTGTGACGGCTGTAGACTGCCAAGGAGGGGCTGCAGCAAGCGCCGAAGGCAGCCGGGAGAGCAGCGAGTTTCTTAACCTGTCTCGAGGCTGCCCTCCCCAAGGTTGCTGCCATCGCACCTCCTCGCTGGGCGCCTCTGCGTATGCGGCGGAGGGAGACAATGTTACTGTGAGTCCACGAAGAGGCGGAGAGAGTCTTGCGGCTGAATCGGCTGCTGCTGCTGGTGCTTGTGCTGCCTTTGTGGCTGCGATTGAGGTGTTTCAGCACCACCGACCGCGGGAGCCGCACCAAGGCGGAGGCGCTGGAAGCCGCGAAAGCGACAAAGACAGCTAAAGGAGAAGGACGAACAGGAACAGCAACAGGCACCGCCTCACAAGACCAACTAGACTCCCAGTGCGGCAGTACTTCATCTCTCCAGAGGGCGAAATTGCGCGCTGCTGCCTCCTCGCGTCTCATGCGGCTCTCCTGCAGCAGCAGCTGCCGCTTTTGGTGGCTCATCTCCTGTTGCTGCAGCAGCAAGCGCTGCTGCCGCTGCTGCTGCTGTTGCGCCACCTTCTGATGGAAAAAGCCGATCCAGCGCGTGAACGTCGAGTTCGATAAATCGGCAGCAAACAAATCCAGGCGACGCGAGACAAACTGCAAACTCACGCAGCGTGCTTCCATTTCATCGGTCAGCTCAAACTTTTTTGCTGTGCTGTACAGGCACCCTACTGTGATATCCACGAGCTCCTCTAGCGGCAGCGAACTCGGCGCCTGTTTCGTGCTGTCCTCCCCGCTACTGTTGGGGGGGCCCCACAGCAGCAGCAGGTAATCGGGAGACACCCGAATCAATCGTCGCTTCATCCGACCGTTACGGCACAGCTTCACAAAGACTGAACCTTCTATGAACAAAGAGGTGTCGATACACTCCACCGCCTCCGCCCCACTGCCCTCTTCCCCCACACACAAACACGCAGACCCTTCAGAAGCAGAATGCGGATGGGCAGTCAAAGACACCATTCCAGCAGGGCCCCCGCTGCTGCTGCTGCTGCTGCTGCTATGCCCGACACCCCCGACCAAAGGGTCAACGCCCACCCCGGCAGCGCCAGCAGCACCCACTCCTGCCACGCCGACCCTGCAGCAGCTACTGCTCCGCTGCTGCTGCACTTGCTGCTGAAGAGTGGGAGACTGACACATCTCGGAGGGGCGGGAAAGAGAGGCCGGCAAATGCCGCAGTGCCCGCGGATCATTCACGAGTCGGCTGTATACCTGAACAGAATTCATCCAAACCCTAAACCACAAAAAATGAACCGATAAGCTCCAGCGCAAGAACCCCTAAACCATTAACTCTCGCCGCCCTGCCTCAATTCCAGCAGATCCTAATGATGTCCCAGATCGTCAGTGCACCAGGCCCCGACAACCCCTAAAACCCAAAACCCTAAATCCTAACCGCTCGCAGTCTCGCTCACTCTGTCTGTGTCTGTGATGTTGAGTCGGAATTCATGGACGACGACGCGATCATACATACAGTCGACGACTCCATCAGGTAGTTGTGCACCTCCAGCTGCGACGATTTTCCTAAATTGTTCTTTTGTCATTTTGCGGCGGACTTTGGGGTTGTGGCGGTCAGTGTGCAGCATGAGAATGGCGTAGGCGAGGAAGTGAACGGTGTCGAGGTCGAGGCCCCTCTCCTTGTTGTCTCGTACATACAGCCCAGCAAACCGGTACAGCAGACGATACACCTGCTGCGCCTCCCCAGGGGGCTGGAAGCGAGACAGAAACTGCCGCAACGCCTCATCAATGGACAAACCACGATAGTCGCACAAAGAAGCAAAAGATTGAAGCACCAAAATGGAAAATGAACTGCAGTCCCCCAACACCTCCCCCACCTGCACGGGCACACCAAAAAAACACAGCGCATGGAACCTTAACATCACACGTCCACACAAGGGATATACTGCAAACAAACGTACTATGCAGCAGCAACAAGCAGCCACATCAGAGAGCAGCAGCAAGTACCCGAGCCCACAAACGACGACAGCACACTCGGGCACCACTAGGGCCGTCGGCCTACGCCTGTGCTGAGCCAGACGAGGGAAGCTGCACTAGCTAGCAGCAGCATCAGAAATAGCAGCCAGGGGGTGGGGGATGAGAATGGGAATAATATACCTTCTTCTTATCGAGTCCCGGGGTGTCGTAGAGGAAGCGTGCAACAGCAGCGGGATCTTGCGCCTCAATGAGTTTGCGCTCTCCCAGCAACTGCAGCGCTGCATGCAATCCCTCCTTGTTAAACAGCAGTACAGCCTTGTCTACTGAGGCTTTCAAGTCCGCCTGCTTTCGCAGCTCCTGCATCATCTCGCAGTGGGTGCCCCCAACGCGCGAGACGCCCCCAGGGACCCCCAGGCGAGCGCCGCCTCCCGCGGTCCATACGGCGTAGCCGCCTACGTGCCAACGGTATAGCCGAGACGGGCAAGGACTGCTGCTGCTGCTGCTGCTGCTGGGCTGCTGCATATCCAGCTGAGGCGTCGTACCGCTCCGCGGCTGGAGCGAGTCCGTCGATAAACTCATTAAGCGAGACGCGCACGGGCCGCTAAGCACCTCAGCACCTCCCACCGCACCATTAGCAGAACGCTCCATGGATGCTGCTGCTACTACTGGTGATGGGGGTGCTGCTGCTCTTTCTTCTGCCGTTGCTGATGCTGCTGCTATGCCCGAAGCAGGTTCTGCTGCCGATTCGGATTCTGATGCAAGCACTCCTGCAGGCTCTCCCGCTGCCCCTACTTCTGTTCCAGCTGTGTCTGAAGGCACAGCAGCTGCTTCAGACGGCAACTCCTCCTCTGGAAGGGGTGACTGAGGCTGCTGCTTCTGCTGAACTTTGCTGCAGCTGCTGCTGAGAAGGGGCATTGTGGCAGTTGCTGCTTCGGCAGAGCCCAAATAACTCGGGCCCGGTAGCCCACCGGAGATGGCCGCAGGTTCGCCACCGCTTTCAGCACTCCCTGCAGCACCTGCAGCTGCTGCTCCAGGTGCCTTGACAGCAGCTCCCCCCGCAGAATAATTTGCAGCACCTTCTGTTGCTACCACTGTTACTCCTGATGCAGCTGCACACTCAACTCCACCACCCAGAGGCTCGGATAAAGCAATGGGATCGGGAACATGGGTGCGGCTGCTAGTTGCAGCTTTCAGCTTCCCTTGTAGCCAAATGGGAGAGCCAGCAGCGGCAGCAGCGGCCGCAGCAGCAGGTGGGCCTTGTGCACCTTCTACACAAAGCGCTGCAGAAGGTGCTGTGCTAGCTGCAACACTGGCGGGAACTGAGAACTGCCGCTCCTCTGGGCTTTCTGTGCGTCTGCTGGTGGAGCGGTTGCTGCTGCTGCTGCTTCTGCTGCCGCTGCTGCTGGGGATGCTGGGGACGTTCTTGCCGTTGTTCTCGTCTTCACTGCTGTCGCTCAAACCACTGCTGCAGCTGCTGAATTCGTCTTCGTTCGCTGCTGGAGAGCAGGGAACAGAAGTTGTGGCCGCAGCGTGCTGGGCAGCAGCTGCGGCAAACAATCGGTCATAAGGAAAGGCGGCTGTACAATCGGTCGCAGCTTTCGAGTGCTCAGAGGAACAGCTCCCGCTGCAGCTGCAGTAGCTACCACAGCTCCCCCTCCTGCTGCTCCTGCTGCTGCCCCTGCTGTTGCTTCTACTGCTGCTCCTGCTGCTGCTGCACGTTGCCGCTACCGACGGCAGAGCACGCCCTCGCCTCTCTGGTATCGACAAAGCCTGCTGCGGTATCATGGCCTTGTGCGTTGCATGCGAAGCGGTGCTAAAACCTCTTCCCTGGGCTGTATATACAGCACCCGTAAGTGCAGTAGACGGCGCAGAGGAGCAGAGGCGAGGCCTCGGATCTTCTTTTGAACGCCGCAGAATCCTAGGGGCCGATAACTGTTAGATACGTCGAATACTAACTCAAACGAACCTCTGAAAGGGTACTTCGGCGCGCTATACGGGTTCCTGGCACGCATTCAAGAGGTGCAATTGGCGCGGGTTGAAAAGAGGAAACGAGGTGTGGGGCGGGCGCAGGTTCGGCCGTCTATACACCCCATTTCAGAAGATCAAGAGAAGGAATTTGTGAAAGCGGGAGATCAGAAGCAAAAAACAAAAAAGACAAGTCCCGCAGAGAACAGATGAGCTCTGTTCCGGCCAACGCCTCCCGTCCTGCTTGGTGGACTTGGGAAACTCGGGCTTTCGAGAAGACAGCGCATCAAGGGGAGAATCGAAAAGAGCAAAAGGTGCGGTATTAAACCAATTCGATCCGTCTATCATCGACCGCTGCAAACCACGGAAGACATTCCCTAGAACCCTGGCGGCGCACCGAGGCGCCAGGGGTCCGTCAGCCCGCGATATAGAATGCGAAAGGCCTCGAAACGCAGCACAAACTGCAGGTTAAAAGCTTTGCTCCCAAGAAAAAGAATTAGGAAAACAATAAAAGAGCACTAAAAGATCCTCCATCCAGTTTATTAGCCAGTTCAGGACCTCCTGTGGTGCGCCTGCATGTACGTACAATAAAAAGGCGTGGACGTCCTTGCACTTTAAACCTGCAGCAAAAAAAGAACAAATTCTGCTTCAACTACCTCAAGTGTGAAGTTTAATGATTTTCAAAACACCTGCAACGATAATATACGAACGAAGTGGGAACCGCCGAGTTCTGGTTCCTAGAGGTTTCTTGCAGTACAGAACAGCCGGAGGCCACAAGGATACGTTAAAGGCCCAAAATAAATGCAAATAACGAATTGAATTCAATCTTGAATTTAACTGCAGTGCAAACCCCCACTGGCATACAGAAAGGAAGGGAAATTCGCCAAAAACGATGAAGTGATTGTGAAAGTTGATTGTATTATAGGCTTAGATTGGTAATATGTTTTTTGTGATTTGCACGGCTTTAATGGCTAGCATTATTTGAATGAATTACATGATTCGGATGATCAGCGGAATGATTTGCATGGTCGCTGCGATGCGAATGGTTAGGTTACTATGCTGCGGTTTGTTAATACGAGTTAAATAGCTGGGATGATCATCTGAATTTTGGTATGATTTGAATTGTAAGCATGATTTGAAAGATTCGTAGTATGGGCTGGATGATTTGTATGAAATTCACGAATAATATGATGTTCATTACTAGCGGGAATTCCACGGTTAGTATTTTTTGTTTGGTCTGCAGTTGATCTGGATGGCCAGTACTTTCGTTTGAGTTGTTAGTATGATTTAGAAGATGAGTATTTGTTTACCTCTGATTTGGGAGCAGGCGCAAGATATACAGTCGGAGTTCATCATATTTTTCTTTCACATGTCGTTAAATGCTCATTGTCCGCCGGTCGGTTGCTTCCCTTGCCTGCTCTTCCGCTTTGGGCTTCAGGTGCTCCTGGGATGAACGACCGTAGCTCCCCATTGGCTGCATAAAGGCACGAGAGAAGAGAAGGAGCCTGTAGCTAAAGCGTCTTTAGATGGATATAAACCACCTAGGTGTGATGTAACGACGAATAGCTGCAATGCAATCGCCGGTAGCGATAAAATCTTGATGTGGTGCAACAATCACGAACTGTGCTTCAATTAGGATAGTTTCAGTGCAGCAATAGCCAGCCGTCGCCTGCAAAACTCTAACAGCTAAATGTAATGCAATAACATCCAACAGTAATCTCTAGTGTAATGAGTCCTAGCCACTCGCCTCGCTACTGCATCCCGCCGCGGCTGGCATTCTTTTTGCTTGAGTTTCATCGCAAAAGTCGTATATCGCGACCTCCCCTGGTATATGGCTCTTTGGGGGATTCTGTTTTGTTTGGTTTGGTCCCTAAAGCTTCCTTGATTGCACTTTGGAGGAGGAATGGTTCAGTGCTCCAAGAGCAATCTGGGCGGATCGATCGGAAGCACAGAAACGTGTCGAGGCAACAAAGAGCTCATACTTCACGAATTAGAACACATTATGACTATGTTGTGCATCTCCAAATATTGCGGGAGATAGCTTTTGTTCAACATCTAACCGAAGCTGCACTCACTGCCGTTTACAGTCCAATAGTATACAGTGTAAATGACGAATCTGCAAATTGGTTCCAGTTCGAACTTCAGATATACCGATATCTAGCTGTCTTAGTTTCCATCCTCTCTGTTTACTCCCCTACAGAAATCCATGGCTATACAGATCAGATGCTTGTCCCGGGCTACGCTATGCTCCGCAATGAATTGTCTGTTCGTCCTGCACTTCCTGTTGTTGCTGAGGCTTCCGGTCTTGCAAGCAAAGAGCACAGCGGGTATATTTTTTTGTTCTTAGACAAAAAGTTTCAACTAGTCGAGTAACTCAAACTTGGCCTTTAGGAAGTGTTCAGGGAGTGTTTGGAACTTGGAAGGAGAAGCTAATGCTCGTACGTGTGACGCCAGAAGTTCGCGTTTGCTCTCTCAACTCGTTGAATTCAGCAATGCACAAGTGGTTATGGCTTGCATATCATAGACTCATCGTAAGCCCCATGCAGAACACTCGAAGACCTCTCTAATTCAGGGGCAGAAAACAGAATAGACAGCGATAACTGTGTAAAATCAACAGGTTCGGCAACCCGTTGTTAGCTGGAAACACGATCTTTAAGAGCAACCGCGACGCGCCACACACGAAGCTCGTGATTCAGCAGCAATGCGAAAACAGAAACACATGCCAAGTATGTAAAATACGATTTGGCTTGAAAGCCCTTCTGGCCTTAAGGTTGCAGAGTAATATATATAATACAATAATACAACAACGGTTGAGGCAAAGCAAACGACGAATTTCTTTCAGGTGCTCGTCGATCCAGCAACGTTTGGCATATTGAAATCATTTGGCACAACGGAGCCAACACTCGCCGTTACTTTTGCATGCTTGCCATCTGGGCCGAAGGGTGTTTTAAGACAAGGCAAGTAATGAAAGAAAAGAATGCACAGATTTCGCCAACATATCAAAGCAGCTGCAGCGGACACATTCCAAGCAACGCCCATTACGCAGGGAGCATGGAATGTCATGATAACGAGCGGTTAGCAGTCTTTTTCAACCATATGGGACACAAAGGGCAAAACACAAACGTCAACAGCAAAAGAACAAGCCGACGTTACACAGCTGCGGAGGTCTTACGTGCATCTCCTTGACATGCAAGCACTTGTTTGAACTACACAATCTCACCAGCAATAAAACCACACATTCCTTGTGCAGAGATGCGGAGTGCAAAAATCCCATGCAGGTTCAAGTTCCGCTGTACACGCTGGAGGCTGCTGAAAACAGGTGGGGCTGCCAGACAAAACAGATCACAGGAGTCAACTAAATATACAATGGGGAATCTCAGATGCTCAGACGACGAAAAATGCACATTTTTTATCGCTCGGCCCCACGAAATTGTGCTGTGTACATCCAATACCTATGTAAATCCGCAAAGGGCTGCAGGCGCGGTGGTGAGTTGAAACTTCTTCCGCAAAACTACGAGAATGCAGCATGCTCTGGCTCATAAATACCACAGATATACGTCAAAGCTTTCAAAGGTCTGCATCGTCGCGCTTCAAACGAATCGCATGTTCCAAGCCTTTTCATTGCAGCCTTCGGTTCTGCTACCAGACTGTTCAAGTTGCACCCGAGTCAGTCTGCTGAGGGATGAAATCGTTGTCTTTGCAGTGCTTACCTCTGTTTGCAGACGTGCAGAGCGTCTGTGAACGGCACCAACTGCTGCGGGAGGCGCGAAACGTCAGAAATGCAGAGTGAGAACGACGCCTCAACTGACCCAGCTCAGATTCATGACATCGGGTTATTCTCCAGAGATGCCGCTGAGCAGTGCGCTGCAGCGGGATGCGATTTCTTTGTACTGTCGACAGTAAATATGTACGCATGTCCAAATTAACAATGTGAAACATGTGAAAACCCTCAAACAATTCCCCTCACCCTCCAGTATCCCCGGTGCGGCGTCAGACTTCGTAAACCACGTGTGGCTCTGCGAAGGCAGTCCTATCTATGTAGGACTCGTTTCAGTGCTGAATTCACGAGGAAATGTAAATGGCATATCTGATGTTCCTACAGGTTCCCTTCGACGGATTTGTGTTGGGCGAAAGAAGAGGGGCAAACCTGGCCGGTGAGGCGTCGCTAACCACTGCGATTTACCGTGCTCTACAGCTTTATCACGACATATTCAGTTGTCAATGGGCATATGCAAAGCGGTGCACTCGCCGATTAGAGAAGCAAGTGCCTCCCTATAGGAGCCCAGCTACTTTCATGATACATGAGCATTGCAGTTTTTGGCGAAACGCCCTACGTTTCAATAATTTTAAAGGCGTCAAAACTGCAAGTGCTAAAAGCAGCAATTGAAACGCCTATGCTTGCACATGTGCCTGTGCAAACCAAACAATTTAATCTGCACGTTTCTAGTTGAAACACGCGAGATCCGGGCTTGTAAGCATCCAAGAAGAGTGCGTTGGACACGCGCCCCATGAGATACGCTGACACAGCTACATATACCGCCACCTGCAGCATCTTCCAGCATACAGGCCGAGCAAATTGTTGAAACAATTGCAAAAGAATGACAGGCACACTCCACACGAGAAGCAGAATCATGAAAGGCGAAGAGGAGGTGGGTCATTACCAGAACCGAAGTGCGCCAGGCCCGCGTAGTATTTGTACTGCGCTTCCAGCTTGCAGTGGCTTTCCTTTGAAATAGTCACCGAACGTGAAGTGCTTTTGTCTAAAATTCGCAGAACAACGATTCTGCACTTCGATCTTCTTGCATGCAACAAAACTGCACTGGTCTACCGATGGAACAACGGGAAATGGCTGCGGGTTGTCAGCCGTTCCCCACAACTTTGCTACTCGAAAACAAAAAAAACAACGTACAGATTTGCGCGTAAACGAAATCTCTCCACCTTGCGAGCTGGGATTAGGGTCTAGGGGTTGGGTCGCCAGCGTCGTTAAGGAGTTGCTGCGTGACCTGCAATTCATGCGTTGAACTTATCGGGCTGAGAACAGCATCTTGACAATTTTCTTGCTGTCGGTCATCGTCTTGCTGAGTTCCTTGCTGTATATGCAACTGCTCGGGATTCTGGCCTTCGTCTTCTTGCGCGGTGGCGCAGACCGTCCAACGCACTGCCTGCCCACTGCCTGTTATTTCCGTCACAACCCGCAGGCCGTCCGCTGATCGCGCGCTCAGACCGTCCCAGAGAATGGATGTGTGATGCCCGCCCAGCATGCCTATACCGTCGGCAGTCTCCGCTGCAAGAGGGAAACAGAAAAGAGAGGCAGACGCATGCTGGCGTGAGCACTGCAGCAGCAACGCGGACACCCCCATTATAAATCCGTCTATCCAACGCCCTTACCGTCCATGTCTTGAAGGCTTGTCAGGCTCTGAGACCGCGTGGATCGCCGTCTGAATGCCGCGTGTGTTTTCTTCTTTTCTCCCAAGTTCAGCATCACTTCGCTCTGCGACGTCTGCGCACCCTTAAGGCTGCGTGCAAACACAACCAACAAAATTTGACGGTGATATCCTACGGGGGACCCGTCAGACAGACACGCCAGTAATGTTTGTCAGGAAACAAAGACACATAAGGGACGTCGAGTCACTTCCGCATGCGAGCACACACTGTCACAATGCAGGTTCCTCCGGCAATTGCCCCTAATGGAAACTCATCTGTTGTGTCCAGCGGCTGGTGAGCGTGCAGAGGGAGAGATAACCACCAGAACTCACCATGCCATGTTCGTTCCAAAGAATGGCAACGCCCTGGGCCTGAAGGACCTGTTGCCTCCACCTCCCTTCCGTCTGTCTGGTCCCATAGGGTGTACATCCACCGGGCGCAAAGCAACGACAGGGGGAGGCGCTTTGGGCGTCAGGCTGCCAGCAGGAGTCAACGCACCCCCGTGCTGCGAGCAGGCGGGGCTCCACGCGTGTGGCGCAGCTGCATCTGATGCTTCTTTCTGAATTCACGGATACGAAAACCCGACAAACAGAAAACAAAAAAAACTGGCGACAGCACCAACCTATTGGTTACACCGTAGACGGCTCCCATCCCCTAAACTCGTACCACGATGCTGACCAAAAGAAAACACCTAAACTAAATCTCCGAACGACCTAAATAAATAACAATTTGCGTTATCATCAACACCCCCAGAATGACAGGGGAGACGAGAAGAATGAAGCAGGCCATCAACATGCACAGGCGTGAAGCCTGTCATCCTATTCATATACTCCACGATACTCCTTACGAAACAGCAGCAATGCATTCCTCTCTCTTCATATGTTCCTCACCGAATTGTCTCCCAGAGCCATTCGTCTGTTAGCCCAGAAGACAGCATCGGGAATCGACAGAAAGCAATGCTCAGGCGGTAGCACGTCATAGAAAGCTGCCTTCTGCAGGAAATCCCTCATGGGGCCTTTCCAGTTGGCGAACAGTAGCAACACTCCCCGATCTCCCAACGTTTTAACCAGTCTCTCTAACATGCGGATGGCTGTCACGTCCAAATCATTTATCGAGGAGCCATCAACAATCACCACGCGGGTTGAAGGCAACAAAGACTGTAATACGCGAGACTCAAAGAAGTCACTGTTGCTGAAGTTCAGAGACGCGTCAAAACGCAAAATGCGGATGCCTGAAACACATGCAAAACAGGGACAAACGAGAAACGAACGCGAGCGTGGGTTGTGGTGTTCGTAAACACAAAATAGGGGCGAACCTCTGCCTGAGGACCTTGCAATAAACATGGAAGACAACGGTTCTCTGCTGTTTCTGGGAAGTCACAGTGGGGAAAGGAGGCAGTCGGACGACGATGAATGACCGTGATTCATGCTGTATGTTCATGGGTATAGGGTTAAGGTCTAGAGTTTCGGGGGTTAAAACACCTAATAAAAGCGTACCTTCCTCCTCCACTGCCATAGGAAAACGCTTGATGTTTCTGTATATGAAAGTCTTTGGGAGTCTACCGAGAATCGCGCAGGCCGGCCTTGCAGTTTTTCGCAGCAGCCAGAGAAGGGACAGGAGAATGGAGGCCAGAATACCTTCCATAGCGCCAAATATAATTGTAATTAAAAAGCAAACGAGCCACAGCAGTACATCCAATCCGCCTACAATACCACACGCGTGGGCATAACAAGCAGGAAGGCAACGGATGTCTGTGAACCGCTGAATCCGTTGCCGGGTGCACAGAAGGCAACCAACAACGAATAAATGTCCTCACCGATCTTTGCCAAACGAATGCACTCCTTGAAGTCCAGCATCCCATACACCCCAAACAGGACGACGGCGGCGAGCACAGCATTGGGCAAAGCGTACAGCAGCGGCGTCATGAACGACAGTGTGAAAACCAGCACCAGGGCGTTGGATATTTGGTGCAACTGCGTTAAACCCCCAGTAGAAGCAACGACGCAAGTTCGTGACAGGGACGTTGCGTTAGGAAAACACTGAAAGCAAGATCCAAGGAAGTTGCAAGCGCCTAGTGCCACCAACTCCTGTTCCGGACGAATGCTGTACGTCTGCATGCAAGCGGGCAAAAAAATGCACTAAATATGTAGCTCTAAATCTGCCAAAAAATACAACTAAATTTAACATTTTACTGGCCCAAATCACCCCCAAATTCCATATAGCGACATTCGTTGCCTACACATAAATATGTATACGTATATATTTGCACTTTATTTTGTGCACACAAGTACCACATGCGGTGGAGTGGCAACAGACACAAGCCATACACAAACTGCCAACTCGCCGCTTGTTTTTAGCCAGGAGTTCAAAGGGTCGATATGTACTGAACTTGAATTGTTCATGTTTTATTTGAATGGTTCTGGCAGTCAAGGTATAGCGCAGGGTGCTATGCACCTTCTTCTGCTGTGTGATGGTCTTGGCAATGGAAATGTGAATGACAAAAAACATAGCAGTTAGCGCTAGCGCCTCCCGTAACATCATCAAACACACGTTCCGCTGCACCACCACAGGATCGCCACCTTCCGCTGCACAAAGAAATCCAAAAGGAACAGCCACACAAAGTGGATAAACCTTCACAAGCCCACTGGTAAGACTCAGCAGTGGTGGAACACGCTCGAACAAAAAAAGGAATACGAGACATTCTCCCTCTCATATTTCCTGCTTTCCCGCACTGGTATGCTTTGAACCGTGTGAATTAGTGTGAACCCCCACTGATGACAGCAAACGAAGTTGAAAAGCGGGGAGCTGCCGGGGAGGGAAAGCCTCTAGGGATGGCCCCAATAACCTTGATCCCCGCCGACTCCTCCAGGCCCAGTCCAGCAGACAAGGCCGTGAAAATAATTACGACCAGGAGAGGGCCCGGCAAAGGAATGCACTTGAAGTACCTGCAGGACGCGTACAGACACTGAGACCCAAGGAACCGATCCGTGGACACGGTAGCAAAGGGTGCAGCAGCGCGGCACACGCAAGACAATCATTCCCTCATGTGGGCAGCAAAGGGTAAGCCCAAAAGCCCGAGGGGACAACGAGACCGTTAGGGGAGACGTCGCGACGCACTTTCGGTTCAAAATTTTGCACAGGGCGAGGACACACAGGGAGGCGACACAAATGCCGACGGAAGCCCAATTGGCTTCTTGGATGTGGGTGGCGCAGTACCACCACTGTCTGTACACCGCGCACAAGACGTCCCTTCTCATCAGTGTTCCAAACCCTCACTCCTTGCAGCGTGAAGCTGCGGGTGCTAGTGGCGCTGGGCCCACCTAGACCTCCCTGCACCTACCTGAGCAGTTTGAAATCTGCGTCCTCCACTGCAGCAGGAATACTGAGGCCCAAGGCGTGTTTGAGTTGCGAGGTGCCGATGAGGAATGCGCTGGCAGTGGAGAAACCAGAGAGCACAGGGACAGCCAAGAGATCTGCAAGAAGACCCGCTTGCAGGACCCGCATGAGGAGGAACACGAGACCGACGCAAACAGACATGCCAACAGAAATCGCGATTCTGTTATCCTGCAGCAAGGACGCATTCAAATCCGCTGTAGCTTCCAAGACCGCACGCGCCTCCGACGACGTCTTGGAGTCCACAGCCAAAGCCCGAGCCAGCGCAATGTCCTCCAGCCGCTCTCTCTCCCCTATGATTCGTGTCACCGATTCCCCCAACAGCAAATCTTCAATCGCCGAAACCCCCACCGCCACATGTCGGCCTGTACCAAACACCATGTACACTAAAGGGTAGACGAAATTCACATACAAACCCATTTGAGGAGGCAACCGCGCCAACAGCGCATAAGACATTCCCTGGGGAATCGCCATCACTCCTGAATGCGCACACAGAACGCCAAAACCACGAACAGAGGAGCCGTCACATTTCCTCCCGCTATGCATTCCTGGCTCCTCTGCCCCCGCCCAGCTGATGTCCAACAGAACAGAATTCAAACAAACGCAGGAACTGATAAAAACAGAAGCAGATGATAGCTGATATAACCACAAGCAGCATCGCCCACTGATTGGTTGCTGGCCAGTGCACATTACAGATACCAACTCTTCGACTGCTCAACGCAATAGCGCGTCCGCCTCTGCGCATCCTTCTGCAGGAAACATACCTTCCGAAATTCCTGCAAAAACGTCTGGCAGCAGATAATTCCACTTGTACGTCCGCAGCACTTCATGCAACGGAACGGCAGACTGCACAAAGCCGAGGATGGAGAAGCTGCGGGCCTTTACCCACAGCCAACTAAAAGGGCTGTTCCGTTCCTCTGGAGTAGAAAAATCCTGAAATAGAATACATATATATATATATATATATATA